TTGTTCACCATCTTTATTTGTTCATCCATCTTTATTTGTTCATCCATCTTTATTTGTTCATCCATCTTTATTTGTTCATCCATCTTTATTTGTTCACCCATCTTTATTTGTTCACCCATCTTTATTTGTTCACCCATCTTTATTTGTTCATCCATCTTTATTTGTTCATACATCTTTATTTGTTCACCCATCTTTATTTGTTCACCCATCTTTATTTGTTCACATATCTTTATTTGTTCACCCATCTTTATTTGTTCATCTATCTTTATTTGTTCACCCATCTTTATTTGTTCACCCATCTTTATTTGTTCATCCATCTTTATTTGTTCATCCATCTTAAATTTGTTCATCCATCTTTATTTGTTCATCTACTAATGTTATTTCTTGAGAACTATTCCTAATCAAATAAGGTACACACCAAGAGCCTCGGACGAGCGTCACTCTCTGACAGTCAGAGTCACAGTTAAAATGATTGTCAGACGTCAATCACTAGGCTGATTGTTCTAGGATTCAATCAATCAATCTAGGATTGATTCAATCAATCAACTAGGATTAGTTGAACCAACTAGGATTGGTTCAATCAATCTAGGATTGATTGTCAATCACTAGGCTGATTGTTCTAGGATTCAACCAATCAATCTAGGATTGATTCAATCAATCAACTAGGATTAGTTGAACCAACTAGGATTGGTTCAATCAATCTAGGATTGATTGTCAATCACTAGGCTGATTGTTCTAGGATTCAATCAATCAATCTAGGATTGATTCAATCAATCAACTAGGATTAGTTGAACCAACTAGGATTGGTTCAATCAATCTAGGATTGATTGTCAATCACTAGGCTGATTGTTCTAGGATTCAATCAATCAATCTAGGATTGATTCAATCAATCAACTAGGATTAGTTGAACCAACTAGGATTGGTTCAATCAATCTAGGATTGATTGTCAATCACTAGGCTGGTGTGGATCTGTAGTGTGATTAAGAAGTTCATGTAGTTGAACAATTAGTGGTTGTCAAGTTTATTTTGTCGTCTTCCAGCCACTTGGGGTGGACGGTAGTTCGACGGTCTCGCTTCATGCAGGTCGGCGTTCAATCCCAGACCGTCCACAAGTGGTTGGGCACTATTCCTTCCCTCCGTCCCATCCCAAATCCTTATCCTGACCCCTTCCCAGTGCTATATAGGCGTAATGGCCTAGCGCTTTCCCCGTGATAGTTCCCTACCATTCTACCTGTATGTTAATCACAATCACCCAACCACGGGAATTACGGGCTATTCATGCCCGTGCCACCTCTTGGGTGGCTTAATCTTCATCAATTAATCAGCCCTGAGGTCTTGATGAATCAGCCCTGATATCTTGATGAATCAGCCCTGATATCTTGATGAATCAGCCCTGATATCTTGATGAATCAGCCCTGATGTCTTAATGAATCAGCCCTGATGTCTTGATGAATCAGCCCTGATATCTTGATGAATCAGCCCTGATGTCTTGATGAATCAGCCCTGATGTCTTGATGAATCAGCCCTGATATCTTGATGAATCAGCCCTGATGTCTTGATGAATCAGCCCTGATGTCATGATGAATCAGCCCTGATATCTTGGTGAATCAGCCCTGATGTCGTGATGACTCAGCCCTGATGTCTTGATGAATCAGCCCTGACGTTTTGATGAATCAGTCCTGATATCTTGATGAATCAGCCCTGATATCTTGATGAATCAGCCCTGATATCATGATGAGTCACCCCTGATGTCTTCATGAATCAGCCCTGATGTCTTGATGAATCAGCCCTGACGTTTTGATGAATCAGCCCTGACGTTTTGGTGAATCAGCCCTGATATCTTGATGAATCAGCCCTGATGTCATGATGAATTAGGCGTTCACTATACAGCCATACCCGTCGTTCACTATACAACCATACCCGCCGTTCACTATACGACCATACCAGTCGTTTAAATTGACTTGACTTAAAGAAATTCGATATAAAAATATGACCCAAGAAAAAACTTTGCGAAAATAACTTGACTTCTGGAAATCCGTCTAAAACCAATTTGAATGAACGAAGCAAAAATAAATGTTTATATGAAAAGGGAAAAACCTAAGTCGCCTTCGGGGCAATACCCTGCCAATCGCAGTAACTTGAGTATCCAGGGGGCCAGATTCACGAAGTAGTTACGCAAGCACTTACGTACCTGGGGCCAGATTCGCGAAGTAGTTACGCAAGCACATGAATCTGGGGCCAGATTTGCGAAGCAGTTACGCAAGCACTTACGTACCTGGGGCCAGATTCACGAAGTAGTTACGCAAGCACTTATGAACCTGGGGCCAGATTTGCGAAGCAGTTACGCAAGCACTTACGTACCTGGGGCCAGATTCGCGAAGTAGTTACGCAAGCACTTACGTACCTGGGGCCAGATTCACGAAGTAGTTACGCAAGCACTTATGAACCTGGGGCCAGATTTGCGAAGTAGTTACGCAAGCACTTACGAACCTGGGGCCAGATTCACGAAGTAGTTACGCAAGCACTTACGTACCTGGGGCCAGATTCACGAAGTAGTTACGCAAGCACTTATGAACCTGGGGCCAGATTTGCGAAGCAGTTACGCAAGCACTTACGTACCTGGGGCCAGATTCGCGAAGCAGTTACGCAAGCACTTACGTACCTGGGGCCAGATTCACGAAGTAGTTACGCAAGCACTTACGTACCTGGGGCCAGATTCACGAAGTAGTTACGCAAGCACTTATGAATCTGGGGCCAGATTTGCGAAGCAGTTACGCAAGCACTTACGTACCTGGGGCCAGATTCGCGAAGTAGTTACGCAAGCACTTACGTACCTGGGGCCAGATTCGCGAAGTAGTTACGCAAGCACTTACGTACCTGGGACCAGATTCACGAAGCAGTTACGCAAGCACTTACGAACCTGTACATCTTTTCTCAATCTTTGGCGGCTTTGTTTACAATTATTAAACAGTTAATGAGCTCCGAAGCACCAGGAGGCTGTTTATAACAATAACAACAGTTGATTGGCAAGTTTTCATGCTTGTAAACTGTTTAATAAATGTAACCAAAGCCCTCAAAGATTGAGGAAAGATGTACACGTTCGTAAGTGCTTGCGTAACTGCTTCGTGAATCTGGCCCTAGGTTCGTAAGTGCTTGCGTTACTGCTTCGTGAATCTGGCCCCAGGTTCGTAAGTGCTTGCGTAACTGCTTTGTGAATCTGGCCCCCAGGTTCGTAAGTGCTTGCGTAACTGCTTCGTGAATCTGGCCCCAGGTTCGTAAGTGCTTGCGTAACTGCTTTGTGAATCTGGCCCCAGGTTCGTAAGTGCTTGCGTAACTGCTTTGTGAATCTGGCCCCAGGTTCGTAAGTGCTTGCGTAACTGCTTGGTGAATCTGGCCCCCAGGTTCGAAAGTGCTTGCGTAACTGCTTCGTGAATCTGGCCCCCTGAGTAACTGAAGAGATTGGATAGTTGATGATTGTTTGTGTCTCGTGTTGCGTCACTCAACAAGCATCATTCGAGATTGCTAATGACAGATTAGTATGTCGTGATCATGTGCTCGATGTACTTTAAACGAAGAATAGAATTTAATAAAGTATATTATTCACTTAACCAATGGTGACATCACTCAAGAATTGGGCAGTTGAGCCCATCACTAGCCTGGGGAAATTAATTAAGACAGAAGAGGTCGACAGTTACAGATGGACTGTTCCCCCTCTCTATCCTTCAGTACCACGGAAACTATCCTTGTACCTCACTATCCTTGATCTATCCCCCTCACTATCCCCATATAATGGTCCCTTCCCACACAAGGTCTATCCAGTATCCACTAGTCAGCAGTTGCAACAGAATCTCATTTTCAGTCTATTATTTTTTTAGGGGGGGGGGGGGAGGGGATAGTGTGTTTATCATTACTACCCTATCCCGGAGGGATTCCTTTCACTGAGTACTTTTGCATCTATCCGGGGACTGCTGCTCCTATCCTGGGGTACTGTTTTGCCTCTCTGGGGGATGGTTAAGTTAAGATTTCCTATCTGGTGTGTGTGTGTGTGTGTGTGTGTGTGTGTGTGTGTGTGTGTGTGTGTGTGTGTGTGTGTGTGTGTGTGTGTGTGTGTGTGTGTGTGTGTGTGTACTCACCTAATTGTACTCACCTAATTGTGCTTGCGGGGGTTGTGCTTTGGCTCTTTGGGCCCGCCTCTCAACTGTCAATCAACTGGTGTACAGATTCCTGAGCCTATTGGGCTCTATCATATCTACATTTGAAACTGTGTATGGAGTCAGCCTCCACCACATCACTTCCTAGTACATTCCATTTGTCTACTACTCTGACACTGAAAAAATTCTTTTTAACGTCTCTGTGGCTCATCTGGGTACTAAGTTTACACCTGTGTATTTGTGTGTGTGTGTGTGTGTGTGTGTGTGTGTGTGTGTGTGTGTGTGTGTGTGTGTGTGTGTGTGTGTGTGTGTGTGTGTGTGTACTCTAACGCTTACAGATAAACTCACCCCAAAAAACCTCATACACACGTATGCATACACAAGGACAAAGACACCGGTTTACTGAAGCGATGCAAGACTGACGACAAACAAAATAGATGTTGTTGTTTTAGAGTGAGCTTCTTGAAACAAAAAGTTCCAAGTAGCACGGGCTATGGCGATCCCGTACTGGACTTAACGAAATGGAAATATTCACGACCCTTCAGTGAAAGATTGGTAAGGTTCTTAAACTAGAACCAGAGGAGCTCTTAAGATACGAGAGGAAGAGCCTTAACTGAGACTCCAAGCAGCGTAGAAAAGAGTTTGCAAGTCTGAAGAGAGAGAATTCAAGTCTACGTAACATAGAGAGGAGAATGCAAGTCTGATTAAAGCAGAGGAGACAATAGAAGTCTGAGTAACGTAAAAGAAAAGTCTGAATAACGTAGAAGAGAGAATAGAAGTCTAAAATAGATAAGTTCATGAATCGTAAAAAGGGGATTGAATAGGCAAAGAACCAGTTAGACTGAGCAATACTAAAGCAATAGCGAGAAGAGACGCTGGCTAGAGACTAGGGGCTAGGGACTAGAGTCTAAGGGCTAGGGGCTAGGCCCGAACCACATAAAGAGATAAACATAGCCCGCTCAGACTACTGAAGCATGTCAAGTACTGTGTTTTTAACCCCCCTATGGAGTTACCTTCGCCTGTCAGTCCCACTATCCAGAGAGTAGCTACTACCCCCATCCCACGCTCCTCCCTATCCCTTCCCTCCGTCCCACGTGCCCCTAAATATCCACCTCTCCCTATCCCTTCCCTCCGTCCCACGTGCCCCTAAATATCCACCTCTCCCTATACCTTCCCTCCGTCCC